AAAAGAGGCCTAGGGCAGACGAGTACCAGGGACCAATGGTGTCCTTTACTGAAGCCAACCTAGACATGGTACAGCATCCACACAACGATGCTCTGGTGATATCCCTTAAGATTAGAGAATGCCAGGTAAGGCGTATTCTGGTTGACCAAGGCAGCTCTTGTGACATCATGTATGTCAAATGTTACAAGGAGCTCGGCCTTCACCAAGATGATTTGGAGCAGTCCAACAGTTCAATGGTCGGGTTCAATGGAACACCGACGTGGCCCCTGGAAATAATAAGTTTGGAGGTGCAAGCAAGCAATAAGAAAGTAAGTATAGAGTTCATAGTAATTAACACCCCCTCCCCTTACAATGTTATCTTGGGGAGGCCATGGTTGCACACGATGAGGGCTGTTCCTTCAACACTATACCAGCTGTTGCGGTTCCCAACAAAGCATGAAATTGAGGAGGTCAGAAGGGATCAGGTGCAGGCAAAGAATTGCTCCATGGAAGCAGTAAAATCCACCTATAATGTACGAGAAGCAGAAACAGTAGAGATTGAGGACAAGGATATGGAGGTCCTGGAAGACGTCGACAAAGAGCCAGCCAGCAAAAGCAAGAAGGCTTTGAAGAAAATTATGGTCCAGCAAGGGGATGAAAAGCGCTTCTTCCTCATCGGCTCAGGCTTGACTGAGAAGGAGGAAAGGGAGCTAGAAGTATTCTTGCGAGTAAACATAGAGGTGTTTACGTGGACGCCATACGAGATGCCTAGCATTGACCCTGAGGTTACATGCCACAGACTGAACATAGAAAGGTCGGCTAAACCTGTCATTCAGTGAGCGAGAAGGGCGACGTTGGTTCATGTGGAGGCAATAAAGGAGGAAGTGGACAAATTGTTAGAGGCCAGAGCCATCCGAGAGGTAAACTACCCTACCTGACTGTCCAACACTGTGGTTGTGAAAAAGAAAAATGAGAAATGAAGGGTCTACGTGGACTTCATTAACCTGAATAGGGCTTGTCCCAAAGATAGTTTCTCACTCCCCAAGATCGATCAATTAGTGGATACCACTTTAGGGCATGGAAGGATGAGCTTCCTAGGCGCTGACAAGAGGTACCATCAGATAGCAATATATCCCTTGATGAAGAGAAGACTGCATTTATCACCCCAAAATGGCTATATTGCTACAGATTGATGTCTTTCGAGTTGAAAAATGTAGGAGCAACATACTAGAGGTTAGTGACCAAAATGTTCAAACATCTGATTGGCAAAACAGTGGAAGTATACATTGATGACATGGTCGTGAAGACCAAAAAACCTGAGGATCATTTGGCTGACTTAAAGACAGTTTTTGACATCCTTAGAACATATCGGCTCCGACTCAATGCCTTGAAATGTGCATTTGGAGTTGGATCTAGTAAGTTCTTGAAGGGGCATTAAGAAAAGCCCAGATCAAATTAACGCCATCTTGGATTTGAAAAACCCAACGTCGACAAAACAAGTGCAAATGTTGACTGGAAGGGCCGCAGCCCTAAACAGCTTTATAAGTAGAAGTTCAGATAAGTGTAAACCATTTTTCAATTTGTTAAAAAAGGCCATAGATTTCTTGTGGACAGAGGAATGTGAAGTCGCCTTGGCCGACTTGAAAAGATACTTGACCACAGCTTTATTTCTCTCAAATCCAGTACCTGGAAATGAACTGTTCTTATACTTGGCGATCTCAGAGCATGCAGTGAGTGCAGTGGTAATCAGAGAAGAGAATGGAGAACAAATGGCAGTATACTATGTGAATAAAACCCTTGCAGGCATAGAGACCGGGTATTTATCCCTGGAGAAATTGACATTGGCCTTAATGATGGCCTCTAAAAAGTTGAACCATTATTTCTAAGCCCACAAGATTGTGGTATTAACTGAGCACCGTTTGAAGTCCTTGCTACAAAAAGGAGATCTGATAGGCAAGGTGGCTAGATGGGCAGTAATACTGGGCCAATACGACCTGGAATTTAGTCCTAGAACAGTAATTAAGGGTCAGGTTTTGGCCGACTTCGTAGCCGAGTTCACACCTAGAGCTATCCCACGTCAGGCTCCGATGAGCCGCGGCTTAGGGTGTCCAGGGAAACAAGAAGAGACCCAACTGGGAATGGAAAACCCCACAGCAAAGCGGAAGAAGGAAGAGAAACTCAAGCCCTGCGATATTTACATTGGCGACTCCTTCCGCTTGTTTGTTGATGGGAGTTCAAACCGTCAAGGAGAAGGGGTAGGAGTGATGTTGGTATCTCCAGATGAGTGAATGTTAGAGCAGTTTATTCGTTTCGGGCTCAAAGCCTCAAACAATGAAGTAGAATGTAAAGCACTGATCGCAGGATTGAAGTTCGCAGCAGTAATGGAAACCGACGAGATGGTGGTCTTCTGTGACTCCCAACTTATTGTGAACCAGGCAACAGGCAAGTATGTAGCCCGAGACGAAAGAATGATGGCCTATGTCAAAGAGGTTGTTAGACTGTTAGCCTTGTTTCAAGACTGCCGACTACAACAAGTTAGCCAAGATGACAACAACCATGCCGATACCTTGGCTAACTTGGCTAGTGCAATGAAATCAGGGGAGGTACGGACAATAATGGTTGATTATTTGTCAAGCCCAAGTGTAGAACCACTGATCACAAAGAACGAAACAATATGTGTGGAGATGGGCCCAAGTTGGATGGATGCAATAGTAATATTCCTTAAAGATGAGAAACTGCTAGATGATCACAAAGAAACACACAAGGCCAGACTGAAGTCAGCTAGGTTTAGCTTGATAGTAGAAGGACATCTCTACAGAAGGTCTTTTACTGGTTCCCTTTTGAGATGTGTGCATCCCTCCCAAGTTGAAGACTTCTTGTATGAAATACATGAAGGAGTATGTGGAAGCCATGCTGGGGGCAGATCACTTGCTCATAGGTACTGGTGGCCCTACATGCAAAAGGATGCTGAAGCCTATGTTAGAAAGTGCGAGAAGTGTCAAAGGTTCACGCCTTTGATACATCAACCAGCAGCAGATTTGAACCCAGTGTCCAGCCCTTGGCCATTTGCCCAGTGGGGCATGGATCTTGTTGGACAACCATCCCAAGAAACTGGACAAAGGAAGTTCCTGCTAATAGCAACTGACTATTTCACAAAGTGAGTAGAAGCTGAACCCCTTGTGAAGATTCAGGATATTAATGTAAATAACTTCATATGGAAGAACATCATCACCAGGTTTGGGATCCCAAGGGCAATAATAGCAGATAGTGGTACACAGTTTGACAGCAAGCTAATCAAAAGCTTTTGTGCAAAGTACAAAATAAAAAACTATTACTCTATTCTAAGTTTCCCTCAGAGTAATGATCAGGCATAAGTATCTAATAATACTATCTTAGATGGGATCAAAAAGAGGCTAGCGGCAGCAAAGGAAAAATGGGTGGAAGAATTGCCCAATGTACTCTGGGCATATTAGACTACACCGAGAAGATCAACTGAGAAATCCCCATTTGTCATGGCTTATGGCACAGAAGCAGTTATCCCATTAGAAGTCTGCATCCCATGAATCAGAACCCAGGGAGTAGAGAATGGGACTAACGAGGCATTCCTCGCCCAAGATCTAGACATACTGGAAGAAAGAAGGGAGAGAGCAGCAATTCGGCTGGGGGAATACCAGCAACAACTTGTTAGGGCTTATAACAAGAAGGTCAACCCAAGAAAGTTCAAAGTTGGGGACCTGGTGCTAAGGAAAATGGTCAGCAACAAGAATAATCCTAAAGAGGGCAAGCTAGGCCCAAATTGGGAGGGACCTTATAGAATCATCACGGTCGCCAGCAATAGGGCATATCGGCTTGAGGACAGTGAAGGCAAAGAGTTACCAAGACCCTGAAATACTTGCAATTTGAAGTTTTTCTATCATTAGACATTTTGTTTTTCGAAGTTAGTGTTATAATTTTATTAGCTGAGGTAGTAATAAAATTTTAGCCTGATTTTTTAAGAATTTGAAATTTGTGCGATTGGACTAACTAGTCCTATGGCAATATTTCTGATTAAAACATGACAAATAACTTAGACTTATTATATGACAGAGTTGAATTATACTTGCATATAATAGAGTTGAACTAAGTTGGCGATGTTTCTGATTGATATATGGCGAATAACTTAGACTTATTATATAGCATAGTTGAATTATACTTGCATATAATAAAGTTGAACTAAGACTGGTCATGTCGGCAGAATTAAACTTAGAATGGAACTAAGTGCATTTCAGTTAAATTAACAGAAAAGCCAAGGTTGAGAACCTCGGCTAGTCTATGTTTGAATCTGACTTTGGTGAAAGGCTATACGTGCTTAATGTGAATATAAGTGAAACTTAGGTTCACATTAGAAGGCAGAGAGTTGGAGGATGATGAATAAGCTTAAAGATTTGAAGTGCTTGAGACTTGTTGAAATTTTATAGACAAAATTTAAAAGTCAAAATGGGCTTAATACTTGTTGAAATTTTAGAAAAATTTACAAGTTGAAGTTAGTCGAGGTTATATTAGAAAAAGTATCCGAGATACATAATTGCCGAGATAGTTAACCAGGTTGCCAAGCTTGAAAAGGGTAGAAGGAAGAAGTCTTGATAGAATATAGCATGCGAAAGTAAAAGGAAATATTGAATAAATAATTGCAAAAATATTTTTTATATTTTTGAGTGTTCGCCGAGGTGTTCCAAAGGTTGACCAAGGCAAGTAGTCAAGGTTTGTATCTGAGGTATTATACCCAGAGTTATTATACAGTTAAAGGTATACTTTGAAGAAATGCAAAAATATTCTAAGTATGGAAGTGCGAAAGGCATAAAAGAAAACAGTAAAGCCTACAAACGTTCAACACTTAGAAGAAATGAGGAGACTTGCATTCAAAAAAGATTACTTGTTCAATTACAAAAGGGGCACATCGGCCAAATATGAAGCTAAACATTGTTCAGACAACACAAAATACAACTGAAAGAAGAACGAGTACATAGAAAAGATGAAACATCCTAAGTACTAGGATTGGTTTGTGATTTCTCAACCTCGGCTGGCGGTGTTGCATTCTTTTCGACCGCTATCTCGATGTCTATTTCTAGCAAAGTCTGATCCAGACTCCTTTTGGCGCACTGGACCTCAGCCTCAGAGGTAGTTGGTTTGGGAGAGACGCCCTTGGAAACCAAGTCATCCTCCTCATCTTGAGTCAAGTCTATTTGCTCATTGAGGGTGGGAAACTTGGCATCAGTGGCGGCCTCCTCCTCCACTTCGTCAGCTTCATCATCCTCGGTATCATCTTCATCGACTTCATCACCAGAGTCCTTGGGCTCTGGAGGGAAAGGCGCTTGAAGTTGACTGATGTCTCAGAGGTCAGAATCCATTGGAACAGATAATTTATTGAGCGTCGCTGTCCAACCAAGGTAATAACCTCGATTACAAGCTAGGTTGACTTGCCCTTTGTACTGGTCTCGGACAGCGGCTTGCCCTTCTTCAAAAGCTTTCTCATCGGTCGCCTTGACCTCGGGCTCCTTTGAGTCAAGGGCCGCTTGCATCTTGGCCTCTAGATTGGCTATCTTGGCCTTGACAGCCTCTAGATCGGCTCTAGCAGCCTCAGCTTCAGCATCGGCCTTTTTTGCTTTTTCTTCGGCCAAATCTTGAGCAGCTTTGGAAGCCTTGGCTTGATCCAGCAAGGCTCGATTCTTGGCCTCGGCCTGATTAAGTGAGGAGAGGAGCTTGGCAGCTTCTTTTGTCTTCTTTACCAACTCCTTCCTTGTCATCTCGGTCTTGACAGCGTAAGAGTGAGCATGCTGGATGGCCTGTAAAGAAGTAAAACAGACTAGTGAAATTTGACTAACTGTAGAAAGATTACAAAAGAGTAAGAAAGACACTTACCAAGACCAAGTGCTACATTATAAGGGTGAAGTTTTCATATTCATGCAGTTTGGCCATGCGATTCATATCTTTTGGCAGAAGAACAATCGTTGACAGGGCTGCGCCAACTTCAGGATTCATTGCGTTATGGCCGGCTGTCAAGGGTCTATCATCCACTATGACCTCGGGAGCCCAAGTCATATTGTGAGGGAAGCTGTGGCTACCCTCAGGTTGCTCAGACCTTGGCTTTTTGAATGGTTGGGAGTCGGATGCATCGACCTCGGCTGGCCTTTTCTCGACAGTCGTTTGACTTTTCTCTACCTCGGCCAATTTGGAGATTGGCATAGAGTCCTCAGAGTCAATCTGAGTCACTGTGGCCTTGGCCTTGGCCTTCTTCAACCTTTTTTACTTTGGCTTAGTTTGGGATGAAGGAGGCGAGGATTACACTGTCACAACCCCGGGAATGTTGCCAATGAGATCCTTAACAATGGCTGGTTTTCAGCCCATCTATTCGGCAATGGTGGCTACAGTAACTTTGGTGCCAAAGCAGATTGCTGGAAGTGCAGTAGGTGGGTTTAATGGATCGTAAGCCAACACCTCAGTGTTTTGGCGTTTATGGCTACGAGTTCTGTCAGCAAGAGCAAAGAGTGGAGCTCAACATCGGCATTGGTGTTGTGCTGGAGGAATCAGTTGGGGAGTAGATGTTGATGGCTGCTCCGCTGGATCAAAAGTTGAGGCTTGATCAGGCCTTGGCGATGAAGCAGCAGGGACAGATGTTGCAGAAGGTGAAGATTTGCTCTTTTAGGAGACGTCGAGCAAGGCTGACTTGTAGGTTGGTATGTAGTTCACTAGAAGAGGCGTCTTGCGCTTCTGCACATGGAGATCTAACAGCCTCTTTAAATCTCAGCTGGGAACGAATGGTTGTCGAAATCCCTTCGCCGGCTATAGAAGAACTGTAGAAAACAGAAGAGCAACATTAGAAGAGATGAATAAACTAGCAAGCCTTAACGAAAATAGAATTTCAGTATGAGTAACTAAGTCTTACCATTACCCTCTTTAAAAACTGTTCGGCTCAAAGGATAGAGGTGGAGGTCGTCATCAGGTGAAAACTCCTAGTTGCTAGAGACGATAAAGTAATCATCTTCAACACCCTTATTAGAGTCTAGAAGGTCGGCTATTAGTTTGAAAGCGGTGGATCTGGGCTTGAGGTAGTATATGTAGCCTTTTTCATATTTAAGGCCACGCATGGTGTAGTAGAATTGGATGTCGGCTAAGGTAATCTTAGCTTTTTCTCGATGTGCTAGTTCAATTATGCCATTTATGACCCTATAGGAGTTTATGGGGAGTTGCATAGGGTTAAGTTTTTAGTAATGGAGGATTTCTAAAAAAAGAGTATCAAGGGGAAATCGAAGTCCACATTCGATGAATGCAACAATGGGAAAGGGCATGGAGTCTCCGTTAGGCATGATGGAGTCCTCCTCACCAGCTAACCTTAAATGGACATCGGCTGGGATGGAGAACTCTCTCCTAAAGCACTTAAATTTTTCTGGGGTATCGACCATCCACCTGAACATCTCCATGATGTCGAATTAGTAACAGTTGGGACAAGATTTGGGAAAAAATGAGTGGAATAGGTTTGAATACCTCTGTTAAACCCTAAACTGGCAGCTTCTAGGGTTTTTTCGGGATCCAATGGAGGTTTTGGTTTAGTTTTTCCTAAGTATGTGATTTCTTTATCAAAACCCAAGCCTAAATCTATATGGAAACACGAATCAATGGCAAGGATCTAGATATAAGCAAGAAAAACAGAAATGAACAGTGATTCAGACTCAAGAAAATAAACATAAATTCAAGAACACTGTGTAAGTGTGTGCAGCTGTGCAAAAGTCAAGAACAATGACAAATTGCTAAAACATCATGCATATGAAAAATTTGTATGTACATGTGTAAACCCAGAGATAGATTGAACAGTACGAATCACAAGTAAATGCAGTAACAAAGATCAAGGTACCACAAAAATTCAAAGAAATGGGAAATTGATTCATGATCAAAGAAGAAGCAGAGTACAACCATAAAAACAAATTCAACAGCAATGGAATAGGCATACAAGGAATATATACAGAGTAATGAAAGGATGAAACTAAAATCGAAAGAAATAAAGAACTCATCGGTTGGGGTTGAGATCGAGGACACTGGTTTGAGGTTCGCCGGAATTAGACAGTAATGACGAGTGAAGCAGGATAGTAAATGCTTTGCCGGAGGAGGTAAACAGAGTGATTGTAGAGAGCTTCGAAGGTACAAAAATAAAGGTTTGGGAGAGAAAAGCTTTAGAGAGAGAAAGCTTGAGCAAAACGAAGGAATGCAAAGTGAAACAACAAAGAGAGAGAAGTTGTTTTTGTTAAAAATTCAAAAGGGCGGCAAATCATAATGGAATGCCTTGGACGACGTGTCTATCAGGCGGCGTGTGCAGACGCGACGTGACCTAATAGCACATGTCAGGTATGAACCAATGAGAGAGCGACGCATCGGAAAACGGTTAAGTAAACTGTGTATGACAGCTCATGCGCAGATAAAACTCTTGGAGTTCTTGATTTAATGAAACAAAAACTTCAGCTATAGGAGCGATCTTGGTTAAGGAACTTGAAGAACTTGATTCTTGGTTCTTGGTCGTTGATAAAGCAGATTGCAGAGTCTTGGTCATAAAAAGCCAACGTGATGATATCGGCCATAAAGGGTGGAGTATGTCTTAGCCGATGTACTATGTGGACAAACGATATAAGTTCCATCACCTCAGAATGCCGAACTAATAGAACCTAGGGGGCAATTGTGGAGACATATTTTTTGAATGACGACACATGGCCAAGGTGATGCCGAAGTGTCAGCCGATGTGCCACGTGCCACGTGTCTTGGTCATGACGCCGAGGTGATCTCAGCTAGGCCGGGGTTATCTGCGGAGATATTGGAATCCGAGATAAGCAGATAAGGAATAAGAGTCCTAGAATGGAGGAGGACCTTAGTTTCGATAAAAATAAAGCTCTTAGGGAGTTTATCTCTATCTAGTTGGGAGTCCAAGATGAGCATTGAGCCAAAATCCATTGAAGCTAGACTTCTACGGGATCAGGTTAGTGCTAGTTATAAAAGTAAGGCACCCTCGTGGGTCTATGGTACGCTTTTTGTATTCTGATTATTGAGTTAAGCACTATTTGCTATCTTTGAGAGATAACTGAGTACTGACTTGATCGTCGGAGTGCCCTCGAGTGGACGAACCACAGCCGAAGTCTCATCTTTCTATGACAGGTTGTTCGGGCGTAATCTTTTCTACTTGTGCTCTCCTGCTGAGTTCTTGTTTGGCATTGCGGTTGGAAATCAGCACCCACACTACCAATTTTTATTCATTTTATTTTGGTGTGTGAACAACCTACCAAAATTCAATCATTAATGAAAGTGAGAAATTAATTTTAAGATTTAATTTAATAAAAAGTAGTTCAAATGAGATAAATCAATATGAGAAAATAGATTTTAAGTATCATACATAACAAATTAATTGAGTATTTTATTATTCTCAAATAATTTTTCCATTCAAGTAAATATTAATTTTCATTTGAGGTGTAAGAAATGATAAATTGTTTGAATTGTTTATTACTCTCAAATGATATCTTGATCATTCATTCCCTATCAACTAATTTTAATTTATTGTGAGACGATTACATTTTTTTTTTTTACTTCTATATTTATTTTTTAATTTTTTTTAATTATGTAAAAAATATTAACTTGTGTTTTTTTAAATATACATCGACTAGAAGTTTAATAACTCAAAGATAAAAATTAAAATTTGAGAATAATATATGATTAAGAAAAGATAAAATAATAATTTTTTTAACATATAAATAAATAAGTAATACAAATTCTCGGGAAAAAAAGTAAATCCATTTATTTCAACTTTAAAAAAAATTAAATAATAAATGCATTACTTAAAATGATAAATTTTATATTGTTTATGTAGTGTGGAATAAATCTTACTTTAAATTATTAGGATGCTATCTAATATTAATTTTAAAGAGATTGTTTATTTTTAAGTATTTTATTAATGAAAATTAAGTTTTTTTTTCCCATTAAATGATTTAATAATGTTTTAACAATTTAAGAATTTTATTTAATATTACATGAAATTTAAAAATTTTATTAAATAATATTAAAATTTGGATGGGTCTTTGATAATATATGCAAAACCTCAGGGGAGGTGAGTGAAATTTCTCATTTCAATATATAAGGTAATTAATAGACAATTTTGTCATTTTTGGTATTATGACCTATGACATCAATATGATATCAATAATTTTTGTTAAATAGCCTGACAGTGAGAATATTTTGATAATAGTTTCAAAAGTAAGAAAGATTAATATAACTAATGAAATAATAGAAGAGATTTTTGTAATTATTGAAAACCTCAAGAAATGCAAGTGTAATTTACCCATTTATTATTATAGTCGTTGGATTATATGTTAGCTCAAGTATCTTTTTGTGGATTGTGATAAAAAATAAATAAATAAAAAATACACAACTAAAAAATCATGGCAGAAGATCTTTTGTAATTTTTTCTTCGGATTTGGTTGGTAGCTCGAAATTTAGGGGCCCGAATGCCCCTAAATTTCCATATAAGACAAAAAAAAAAAAACAAGGCAAAAAAAAAAAAAGAAAAAAAAAAACAAACTTATCCAGAAAAAGAAATTAGGGCCATTAGAGCCACTGTTTTTAGGGCCACAATTCATTTTTCTTTTTTCTTACCAACTTTGTATCATTGCCTACTTGAATATTGAAGATAATTGGCTTCCTTAAAAATAAATAAATAAATACAAACTGAAGAAAATAATATTCACCCCGCAATATGAAATAAAGCTGAGAATAAACTGATGATATATATATATATATATAAAAGATTGGTCAAACTGGAAAATTTCTTAGTTGATATTTCAAAATTTAAAATATGAACTTAACCATTACATTAAGATGCATGGGGTTCATCATGGATTTTCTTTTGAATGATTTGAATCATTTATTTTGTAAAAAATTATATATAAGTCCATTTTTTAGACCCACTTAATAGACCTAGTGATGCATTAAAAAGATAATTAGTTGATAACAATGCTCTTGTTTTGTAGGGTCTTCAGTGCATATTATCCATAGAAAAAATTTGATCAATTTGATAATTAGAATATTTTCATTTTATTGTGTTTGTCTAAAAAAAATAGATAGTCTATTTTCTAAAACATATACTTATCGTTATGTGATAAAATAAAAATATTATAATTATCACATAGACCTAATTTTTTTCCATGAATAATATACATCGAAAACTTTTCAAAATGAATGTTTATGTCTTGTGAGAGGGAGATTAATGATATGGAATTGGGCCAGACAGATTTGGGCCGCACAGAGTTGTGCCGGACAGATTTGGGCCGAACAGGTGTTGGGCCAAGTTGTGTGGCCCGGCCTTGAAGGAAGCTGCTCGGTTAAGGCAGCGCGTGGATTGATCGAGCTGCAAGGATCCGTGGTCACGAAGCCGGTCAGGTGAAAAGTCCAATGCCAGGAAAGGCAAGGTTGGACCGAGGTACCTGTTTGCTCGGCAGGTCGGGCGACCGCAGACTACTGTGAGTTGTCCTGAGCTCGGCTTTGCCGAGATGCCGCCGAGTCCGGTCCTCATCTGAGCTTAGCTGTTGGAGTACTTGGGCATAAAACGCAGCATGGCAGACGATGGCCGAGATGATACTGCCCGGCTGCCGAGCTCCCAGGAGCATGGGCAGGCAGTTGGGTTAGGTGGTGCTCAGCAAGGTTTATGCTGACAGATGGGATAGTAGTGCCACGTGTTGAGAGATCACTGGGAGTAGATTTGGGACGCAGAAGGTATATAAGCATGTCTACGCCCCCTATACGCAGACAGATGAATATTTGGTGAGACATACACTAAACACTGAAGACTCTCCCTTCTCTCTATCTATCCCCTGTGTTTGTATTCTAACTTGATCGTCGAAGGGGTTTTCCGGCCACACACCGCCGGGTAGCTCACCGCCGTTGTGCTCGCATGTGATCGGACAGAAACGGAGCTCGGAAGAAAGGAGTACAGGCTTGCCAGAATATTTGCTCCCCGTACAATTGGCGCCGTCTGTGGGAAAGTTTACAGACAAAACCTTGTCTTCCAGGCTCATCTGATCGCCGTTCATGGCAAACAATGATGAGATTCCATTGTCTGTCATCGATGGAGCCACTCTAGAGTTTATCCGACGGAGAGAGGGACATCCCGCCATCCTTCCAATGGCGGATTTGGAGACATTCCCCGGAGGGCAGTCGGGGGAAGCGCGGGATAAGCGCGGGAGAAATTATGGTCATTCGCGGAGTCCAGACGGTCATCGGCGGCAAAGAGAGTCACACGCCAGACGTTTGGAGCACAAGTTAAGGGACCAAGATGCCGTCATCCAGCGAATGGCAGCGGAGATGGAAGAGCTCAAGCGACATGTCAAAGGGAAGGGTATAGCTGGAGTGGGTGACCACAGTGAGCGCACTCCATCCCGCCGTTCAGGCGGTC